TGGTTATATTGGAAATTAATTAAGCTCTTAAATTTTCAAATTAGATCTGAAATAATAAACCTTAATATCTACTGATCAATTATAATATCCTCGACATTCTTCATCTGGAGTATTCTTATAAAATAAATTATACGTTCTTGGAGGATAAAATCAGAACGAAGATTTGAATACAATAGAAAGTCTAGAAGTATAAATGAGTAAGGTGAGATCTATTATAGAAACTAGAGTAAATCTACCAAAAATGAATTAAGGTGGTGCTAATTTATCAGTTTGTACTTTTAGACAATATGTAATTAAAGCAACTCCATTAGAAGTATTTGATACTAAATTATTAAAATGGACTTCTTTTAATATTAACATAAATAGAGGGGTTGGATTAGTTGCTATTAATAATTCTAATGTCTTAATTTTTGGAAATGGATAATATTAATTATTGAAAATGATGGATTCATAAAATTTATAATTTACAATTGAAAATTTAACAAATCCCCCTTAAATTGGTCAAGTATAGAATGGTAGTTTAATTCATTTAGGAAAAATTTATGCTGTAACAAACAGTTGTAACTTCATTATTGGAACACCTGAAAAATGGATATTATGAGAATTATCAATTTATCAGAATATATTTATATATTTATTAATATTATTTTAATCTACAATCAATCAATAACTATTCTTGCTAAAGGTTGATAAAACTTATCTTTATCATATTACCATCTTGTGCTGATATCAAAATATTGTATAGGAACATCACCAAATTGATAATCTTTATATTCATCAAATAATTATTGAAAGTTTATTTTACAATCCTTTAATCGAAATAATGTTATATGGAATTTCTCTGCTCTAAACATTTTTGATTATTAATCCATTATCAAATTCATTGATTTTAAATCATCTGAATCAAAGATTTCTGCTTACAAAAATTATCTAATTATAAAATCAGAAACAGGTAATAGAGGAGTTTCATCTACATTTAAATAAATAATATTTAAATCTTCATAAGGGCCTCTTTTGTAATATTTATTTTATTAATTTAATCGATTTTGAAAGCATCCTAAACCTTTAAGTTTTATAGAAGAGTTTTTTAAATAATTTTTAATTGTTTGCTCATTATCTATGAATATTTATTTAGCTTTATTTATTTTTTCTTAATTAGATAATCCAAGCATTGATATTGTGATATGAAATAAAAATGGATTATTAGGATTCATAGATTAATCAAAATTGTATTTTTTATGAATGTCTTCCATTAATTTTTAAAGTTTCCCTTATGTAGGTTATAAAATTAAGGGTACACTAACAAAATGAGTAAAAGTTGCCTAATTTTTTTGAACAAATCTTCTCTATTTCATTTAAATAATAATAATTTATTTTTTTCAAATATTAATGGATTCATTTCATTCTATTATATCTTCCAATTGATTATATTAGTAATTAAAACAATTAAGATTTTCTGTTAATTATTCTGCTATAATTTCTCTTTTTATAATCTCTTCCAAAAGTAATATATATATATAATTTTCTTTTTTCTATAATAATATTCGTAGCTTATTTTGTTTTTCTTATTTAGATTTACCTTTTTTTGAGAATAGAAAAAAGATTCAAATATGTTTTCAATTTTATTTTATTCACTCTACATCTTATAATTAGAAAAAGTCTATAAATTCTGTTAAATTCATATTATGATTTAACAAAAAATCTCATATAATAAAAATATATATAATTTATTCATTACAATTTTAAGCATTCTTCTTATATTTTATCATTGTCAACAGTTTCACTAAGATAAATTCATAATTGATACAAAAACAATTGTTTTGCAATGTCAAGATCTGAAAGAATTTCTATTTTATTTTTCATCTAAATTTTTAAAGTTTTTTTATCTTTTAGAAATTTTGGAAGTTTCTGATCTGCATAAAATATTATTAATGGAAAATAGAATGATTATTATGATTATTTTTCTAAATTTTTATTTCTTTCTATTAAAGAATTGGCCGTTTTCCATTTTTAAATGAGATCTGATAAATGCTTCTTTTTTCCTTAGACAATCTTTTATTTTATTATCTTATGATATATTGCAAATTTACTAGTTTTTCCCTTTATGCATCTCTATCTTAAAGTTTTATCTTTCCAGATAATTCTGAACAAACATCTGATTTAACTTTTTTACCTTCTTTTCTTAATACTTTGGATGCTATCATTACATTCAAAGCATCATATACTCTACGCTTAATGTTTTATTCATCTTTTGACTCTAATTTATTATTGTCATACATTATCATAATCTAATAATCTGCCTTCTTCCTTACTTAACTCTTAAATTAATCTCTCTGCTACATCTTTATAGGAAGTTGATCTCAATTCAAACACGATTTCTTTGACCTTTATTGACAAATGTCTAAGTCCTGTGCTTGATTATGTGTCCATATTTACCCTTTTGGCTTCTCATGGGTTAATTTTACTATTCATAATTATAAGTTCTTCGTTCTACTCTTTCTGATTGATATCTAATTAAATTACTTAAATTAATTACCTTCTATAAGGCTATACTTTTTATGGCGTAGTGAATTATAGATTCGAATTTTTGGAGGGTTTCCTTATTTATTGTTTTGGTGAAAGTTATTCTGATTAAGGATAATCAAACATCATCTGCAATGGTTATGGATCAAAAGGGAATTCATAATCACTTACATCTTAAGGTTTGACAATCTGAAAAGGACTATTTGGAAATAGAAGATGCTTTTATGAGATATTGATGAACTGCGATTCTTCAAGCATTTGAGAAGGTTCAGGAATAACTGGAGGATCATATGATCTAGAGTTGACATTATCATTAGTTATCATTATATATTTATTTAATTTTAGTTTTTATTAATTCCAAAATCCCTCCCTTATTAATTTCATATAAAAAGAACTTTATTATATATATACTTATCAAAAATAAGACTAAATTATACTAATTGCTCTTATCAATAAAATTCATAATAAAATAATTATAAATCAATTATTAATATATGATATTTTACAGACAGAATTAGGATGTTTAAAAAATAAGGAATCAGAATTTATATCACATTATTCCTAATTTAGTATTATTGAGTTAGATTAACCATATTAAGAAAATATATTTTAATTGATAAATCATACATCAGTATTATAAACTATATAATTTTTTTTGTGATTGTATAATTTACATCATATTATTAAATAACATGTCATTGAAATTGTATATCGATTGGTTGTCTTAACCTTCAAGATTTGTTTCTATTGTGTTAAATATACTCAAGGTTCCTCATGAAGTCGTAGAGATCAGAATAGCTGAAGGAAAATAACGAACCCCTGAATATGCTAAAATAAATCCATATAGAAAGGGTACATCATCATTTAATTTATGTTTTTTAGTACCTGCTATTGTAGATAAAGATGGATTTCAACTTGCTGAAAGTCATACTATTGTCAAATATATTATAAAATCAAGAAATATTAAGACTCCTTTATATCCTGAAGATCCTTAGAAAGCAGCTAAGATTGATGAATATTTAGATTATCATCATTCAGGTACCAGAAAATTATCATAATACTTTTTCAATTTGATGGTGGCCCCAAAATTAGGAATAGAAACTACAGTTAATTTAGAGTAAGCTAAAAAAGAAGCTATACTTGCTTTAAAATTTTTAGATACAAGTAAAAAGTCTTATATTTAATATAGAATTTTCAACTTAAGATTACATCTGTGGTAATGAAATAAGTCTTGCTGATTTAAGTGCTTATTGTGAAATCATGTAATTACACATGGTTAATTGGGATTTTTCCAAATATCCTAACATTTTAAATTGGATGTAAAGGGTTACATAAATAAAAGAAGTTAATGCTGGACATGAAGTTTTATAAAAAATAGTCTAAAAAATAAGAAGCAAACCTAAGTTATGATATTTTATTATTCATATGATAAATAATCAAAGAGCTCTAACACCAAAGGATTCAACTCCACATGTATCTCCAGGTGCCAAATAAATATATCCATTTTATCCCCAACCAGTACCATATGAACTTTAAACAATCCAATATTGATCAGTGAAACCAACTGCTGTTGCTGCAAAGTTTACATTATCTTCACAATTACTAAATATTCCTGTTGAATAAAATTGCCAATTTGTAGCATCAACAAATACTGAAACTCCATATTATCTCAAAGCACTTTTAAGATCATCAACATCTTCTTAACCATTAATAGTATATGGTCCTCCTTCTTTTTTGCATGGTGAAAATCTAGCTGTCTAATAAATTAATATTATTTTCTTACATATGGATAAACAGATTCTACTGTAATGCCATAGTTAATAATATAATCTAAACCTTTATAGGGAACTCCTCCATTGCAAGAAAATGATGTTGCATCACAATCCAATAGTTATTAGGCTGAAAGTAATAATTTTTAAGATTTCACCACAGTTAAATATGATTCGGCTGCTCCAACAGTTGAAAAAGCCCAACTTGATATGCACCCAGATTTCATGTCTCTAACTGTTGTTGTGTTTCTCCAATCATAAGATTCATTTGGTATGGATTAAGACTTAGCTTTAATTGATTTCTTTTTTAATCCTTATGAATATTCAGAACTTAAATAAGTGGCTACAAATTCTTCCTTTGTTAAATCAGCAAATTAATTAATAGCCATTGTATAGGTATTTTCAGGATTAGCATTATGTTCATCAATCATTTTTTTGTTTTGTTCAAAGACCATTCTACGATATTATTCCTCAATTTGTGTATAAAATTTAGAGTGAAGTGATTGCCATTATTAAAATTGATTTTATGTAGAAATTTCACTCTATCCATTCATATAAAGGGTAATCCCCATAAGTATCACAGTAGCTAAGCCAAGAATTTCTTTCATTAAAACAACTTAATTTTTAAAATATTTATTTTTTTCTTAAAAATTAAAATCAATATTTATACAATCATTGATGACATAATTATTTTTATATTTTTAATCATCAATTCATTTAAAGCAATCCTTTTGCTAACCTTTCAAATTAATCATTTCCAAATAAGATTGCTTATGGTACCAAATATAAATATCTTTTTGACAAATAATATTGTCTTTGTAATTTGTTATTTATTAAAATAAATATAGCTATGAGATTAATTATCACAACGATAATGTAAATAAAAGATATTATCTAAGATAAATCATTTTCTTACAGATATATTTTGTTAAAGATATTCCGTTTAATTGACAATATCCAACCACATTTTTGAGTTGATTTATTTAATAATTTAACTAACCATAAAAACTCCCTCTAATTCATTCACAGTATTCTCAGTTTTATTTAAAAAATAATTAATTTGCATCTCATTTTATATACTTGTGTAAATGTAAACTAAAGCACTATATAATCCTTTACGTAAACTACCTCCTAGTGTAGTTTAGCATAATTATTCGCTTCTATCTTTTAAATCACCTGGAAGTAATTCACATAAGCTAGTTTAATAAAGTTCTTGTAGATATTAACCGAATGAATCACTTAGCAAATAATTATTTCTATATTAAAATCATTATATACATCCTTAATTATGAGATATCATTTGTAACATTATGCACTTATTCTAAGCAATCTTGGATTTATTATAAAATTTCAGATAATTCTTTTTCCTTATAAAAAGGATATCTCCATCTATAGTATAGAACTTCTCTCATAGCATAAATTGTAGGAATATTAGTCCCAAGATGCGATATTTCTAATGTAAATTAACATGTTTTTTCGTATTTAGTAAGGTAAGTAGATGTGAGATTTAGTTTGATAATCCCATATGTTATTATAAAAATTAATTAAAGAAGTAAAGTTATGATATGCCATTTCTTAAAGTATGATTTCCTAATGATTAATTATTTTTTTTATTAAATAATTTCTTAATTAAGTTATTAAGAATCTTATAATTCCTTTTCTTTTTCTTCAATATTAAATTTATATTTAAATAATTTTTCAGGATTATTAATGTAATAATCAATATAACATGTCAATCTTCTTATTTCTTATAAAATGAGTACTGAATGACTATAGAGAATTAAATAAACAAATTTGCCTAAAATCTTATTATTTCTTAAATCATAATACAATTCAATTCCAAAAATAAGAATGAATTAAATAAGAAAAGGATAGAATAAAAATAGTTCTTTTTCAAAATCATCTGATATTCTTAGTATTGTTTATGAGTATAAATTCTTATTTAATAAATCAAATGAATTGTATAATGTTAGTAAGTTACGATATGAATAAAAAATATAAGGAGAATCTGTAACTGTTCTACCATCATAGACATATGCTGCTTTAAATGTATATTAATAGTTTATTAATATGCTTAGGGCTTATCTCATTGTAATATTATACAACTCACCACTATCTGTTTTTACATAAATATAAATTTCATGAACTTCAGATAAAAATGATTGTAATTGTAATCTATTAAGAATAGCTTCTTAATTTTAATATACATCATCAAATCCTAGATTTAAATTAGAATTTGGAAATTTTAAAAAAAAGTCTAATTAAGGTTTGGCTAGTTATTTTGCTGCAAATTGATTATTATAATTGATAATTGTATATCTAGTAACAATAAATGTTTCGACTGGTTAGAACAAATCATATTTTATTTTTAATAATTCTAATTCATTTAAGTTGAAATTTAGTAAATTTATACAATCAATAAAAGTTAATAAGATTTAAAGAAAAAATAAAAGTTGATGTAATGTTAGCACCACTATTAACATTTTTTCAGTTTGAACTAGGTTATTTTTATGTCTTATTTTTTCGAATAAAGAATATTTCTAATAAAATTTCATTTCATAATTCTATTTGATGTTTCCATTATTAAAGGTAGAGCTTTTTGCATTTTAATTGATATCTCTATCAATAGAGTTTTCCTCATATTTTTATGTTGATTATACTATCTTTTTCATTCCATCTGTTTTTGTATCATCATATTTTATCAAAGTCAATGTCTATTCATATCTAACAGTATTTAACATATCTTATTTTTAACCAAAATTACACTCTTAATCTATTTGATCATATGGAATAGCTATGTTTACTTATTCTTCGACCTCTTCAAAACAATTGATTGATAGTTTTTATTGGGTTCTCATTGAATTAGGAAATATTATGGTTTTATTTATACATTTTATATAACTGAATCTTATCTTATAATAATTATATGCAGATTTTTCGATTATACATAAGGATATAAATGTATTCAATCGCGACATATCCTACCAGATATCTTTTTGGATGAAATGATGAGATTTTTTGTTGCTTTCTTTACTATTAAAGACTTATTAAGTTTAAAGTAAGGAAAAGTTTGGTAATTTAATTTCAATATATTATGGTTATGATATCTGAGAAATATTCGTAAACTGTGGAATAATTAATTCTATATCAACTCCTAGAATGTAGGGAGAATCTTTAAATTCTAAACTAATTTAATCCAAGAATCCTTAACTGAAGCTACTTACTTTAGATTTATCATTAATAATTAATATTATTTATTCTTCATCTAAAAGAGTTCCAATTGATATTGCATGAAAACTGTTATCTTAAATAATCACATCATTCATTAAAATCATAGGCTTTATTATTAAATTATCCTAATAAATAGTTTAAGTGGCTTTTTAGAAAAAATTAGATTTTCCTGTTTTTATGAATTATTAAACCATTTCTTAATGATGTTCTTAAATACCTTTAGGAACCATTTCCATAATATTTTAAATATTATCTTTAATTTTTTCATGAAAATTTGAAGATACTTTAATAACGTTCTAATTCTCTAAGTTAGTGATTAAATAGATTGATTTATAGGATAAAAAATCTGAGTTTAAAGTTAAGATTTTATTATATATAAATTCATCTGGAAATGAAGATTAATTCATTATTCTTATTGCAAGCAAGATGTCGTTGCATAATTCAGCATAGCCAAAAGACAGACATCTTTAGTATCTTATTAAAGGATATTTTTTGTAGGAATCTTCAATTTAGAAAATTGTATTTTCAAATAATTCAACTATTTCATTTGCTTACTTTTATATGTCACTTTTTCTCCTATTACTCAAGCATATTTGATGAAAGTCAACTTTTTTCTAACAGCAATGAATTAATTGTTCTGAATATTGAATACTCTACGTTTCGACAGAGATTAAGCTATCAATCAAGATATTATTTAACTAGATTGAATTATTAGTCAGCATCTAATTCCTTAATTCATTCAAAACTATTTATTTCAATATTTTAGATTTAGCATGAGAAATTATAGATTATCTTGAAGGTTTACCTAATTAATATTAATAAGCTGTAAAATATTCTTTTAAAAGTAACAATAAAGATAAATGTAGTTATTTTTCAGGAACATGATCAAATAATTTGCACAATTAAAACTGAAATTATTAATTATGCAATTTGGTTTGTTCTGTTTTCGTAAGGTTGTAAATCTAGGTTTCTTAAAGAGAATATTGAAAATACACAGATTTTAAGTTATATTACTATTATTGATGAGTAAAGAAATAATGGATAAATATGAACTTTTAATTTAGAAACCTAAATTAATTACATAGCAATCTTGCTTTAAAAAATGTAGTCAATTTAAGACAAAAAGGCCAAGCAATAATAAATAATATTTATGCTTCCTGACCACTTGTATTTCCAGTATAATTGAAACCAAGAAATGATAAACAATATAATATTGTGTTAAAATATGTAAAAAATTACATAAATAAAAGATTTGTATTGACTAAAGGCATATTTAACAAAATATTTATATTACTTAAGGTGCAAATAAGAATTGAAAATACAACTTAAACATTTCTAAATTCTTCTTAAGATGGATTAAATGAAAATATCATAACCTAAGCCAAATTTAATAGCTATTAAATGTAAATGTAAATTGAATCATTTTAATTATTAAAGCTATAATATTTAAACTCTATACTAACTTTTGTTATAATCAAACGTTGGATAAGTAATAAAATAAAAAAACTTGACACAATATAAGAAAGTATTTATTGTTTCATTAAAGTTAACTCAAGAATTATATTTATTAGCCAAATATCAAGAATTTAATTGATATGAAAATTCACTATTTAAAATACTCTTAAAAATTAGCATTAATTTTATTATGGTTCTTGGAATATTTGAAAACTATAATTTACAATTAAAAATCCAAATAGAGTATATATTCCATAATCGATGTATAAAAAGAATAAAGAATCTTAACTTAAAAATAAATAGGGTCTTGCAAATTTAGCAATTATCATAACAAAATAATCTTCTTAACTCTAGCTTATCTTCGGTATTACAGCATATGAAAAAGGTAAAAGTGATCCCATCAAACCAATTAGATATAAAGCAAATTTGCTGATTTCATACTTTTAATCATTACAAATGATATTAGTGATGAAATTATAGGTTAATTTGAGAATAACATTTTTTTCCATTATTAATATTGATTATTAATTAATATTGAAATCTCTTTAAAATGAAAGAATAAAGTATTTTTGATCTTTCTTTTGTATAAACAAACTATTATTAGGTTTCTAGAAATGTATTCATATGAAAATTTAGGAAAAAATTTTGTTATAAATAAATATGTAGTAAAATTTATTATTCTCATTTAAATATTCAATTGAAGAATATTTTATTATATTATCAAGTCTAAAGATAGATAATACACATTAAGCAAAAGTTTTCTTTTATTATTTTGGCTAAGATTTTAATTAAAAATTTCTTACAATAAATCAATATATTATTATTATGAAACAACATTAAAAATTTAATTACAATAGATTTTATATTGCTTTGATTTATATATTAAACTAGAAATTTTCAGTTTGTTAAACCTTTTATTATATGAGTTATTTCCGAAGTATAATACATTTTTTGGTGTAATTTACACTAGATATTCGAAAATTTTGCTGTTTTTAACATTCAAATGAGTCTAATTATTTTTGCCTGACTTAATATTTCGTAGCATAATCAAACATTAATTTTAACTCTTTTTATACATAATTCAAAGTAAACTGTTTTACTTATTTAACAGAGTTATGGAATGAAAAGAAAGTGAATTCAAAAAAAATCATTTTGAAGAAATATTTTCTGTAATTTTTTTCACTTTATTAAAGAATAAAATGAAATATAGAAATTCCAAATAAGGTAAGAAAGTGATGTAAGATTTATGCTTTTGAAAAAAAATTTTGTAAACTCAACAAAGATGTTTGAATATTTTTATTTCAGTTTAATGCCATCTTTGAATTTTGTTTTCAGTAAGGAAATATTTTACTTTTATAATTGTGCCGCATCATCAAAGTATTCCAAAAGGATTAATTGATTTAATTCCTGCCTTTTAATTTTATTTGTAGATTTCTTTTTATTGATGTTTAGTGAATATTTCTTATATTTATTTCAGACGTGTTTTCTTTTACTTTTTAATAATGAAAATTTTATCAATTAAGTTATAAATTAAATTATTATTATTATTA